AAACCATTTCAGGTGACTACCTCTTGAAGCTCATGGAGAGAATGCCAAGAGTGTGCAAAGCAGTAATCAGAGCAAAGGGTGGCTATTTTGAAGAAACTAGAATATAAAACATGTTTTCAGTTATTTCACCTTTTTTTGTTAAGTACATAACTCCACATGTGTTCATTCATAGTTTTGATGCCTTCAGTGAGAATCTACAATATAAATAGTCATGAAAATAAAGAAAACGCATTGAATGAGAAGGTGTGTCCAAACTTTTGGCCTGTACTGTATATATATAAATAATCGGGAGAAAAACAACAGGTCTCCTGCTCGGGCCCTAATAAATCCTTGCATTTCAATAGGGTCCTTGCACCGCTAGGTGCTCGGCCCTAATAATAATAATAATAATAATAATAATAATAATAATAATAATAAACAGCGCGATTTCAATAGGGTCCTCGGATGACTTTGTCGTCACTTGGGCCCTAAGAATAATAATAATAATAATAAACAGTGCGATTTCAATAGGGTCCTTGGACGACTTTGTCGTCGCTCGGGCCCTAATAATAAGAATAATAATAATAATAATAATGAACAGCGCGATTTCAATAGGGTCTTCCGCAGACGAGTTCGTCGTCGCTCAGGCCCTAATAATAAACAGCGTGATTACAATATGGTCCTATGGACGACTTCGTCATCGTTCGGGCCCTAATAAACAGCGCGATTACAATAGGGTCTTCATGGACGATTTTGTCGTCGCTCGGGCCCTAATAATAATAAATAATCATAATAATAAACAACGCGATTGCAATAGGGTCCTCACGGACGACTCGTCGTCCCTTGTGCCCTATTAAACAGTACGATTACAATAGGGTCCTACGTGGACGACTTCATCGTCGCTCAGGCCCCAATAATAAACAGCGCGATTACAATAGGGTCATACGTGGCCGACTGGCAGTCGCTGCTCAGGCCCTAATAAACAGCGCGATTTCAGTAGGGTCCTACGTGGACGACTTGCAGTCGTCGCTTCGGCCCTGATAATAAACACCTCTGCCTTCAGCTGAGGTTCCTTATAATAATAAACCCACCATAAACAATAGGGACCTCTGTCTTCAACCGAAATCCCTAATAATAAACGCACCAAAAACAATAGGGTCCTTGCCCTTCAGCCGAGGTCCCTACTAATAAACGCACCAAAAACAGTAGGGTCCTCGCCCTTCAGCCGAGGTCCCTAATAATGAAAGTCTAAGTGAGCCTTGATCATTATTGAACTACAATGGTGCAACTGGGCTTTAACCCTTTAATACCGTGGGAGTGCCTGCAATCCCATTTGCATATTGATTTTTAAATGCCGGTAGAATTGAAACCAAATAAGATAGAGCAATAATTCTTTTTGCATTTAAAACCAGAGGAGTTACTCTAACTTACCATGCATTCATCATGTCCCAGCGTGCTGTTTCCTTGCACTGACAGGTTTGTAGAAAAACAGTAAAAAGCGCTAAGAACAAAAACAGTTTAATCCTGATCGCGGGTATTCACAGCACTTGCTATGTTGGACTAAATGTCATCACGTTGTGAGCATGAACTGTCACGTTATTTTCTTGCGTGTCTTTCTCGCGACACTACCCGCGGCAACAACGAGTGACGTCATTTCCCGGGAAATTCCTCTCTTTCATCCGCAGTAAATATTTCTCTCAGCTTGCAGTCACACACTCATTCTCGCTTCCATTTTGTATTTTACTCTTTCACAACAACACTTAGACACACACAGATACTCACCACACACACACACACACACACACACACACACACACCAGACACTCACCACACACTCGCACACATATATTTATGGAACCGCAACAACCTGGACGCGCGAAACGGCTTTTCTCCCGGTGTGAAGCTTTCGAGCTAATTACAGCGTCGGATGAAGATTCAGTCCACTCATCTGGTCCGGATTCTGCCGACAGTGGAGATGAAGCTGACATCATCCAAGGGAGAGATCCCTCCTACTGTTAACTTATAAAGCTCTAAATGGTCAGGCTCCGTCATATCTTAGAGAGCTCATAGTGCCATATTATCCCACCAGAACACTGCGCTCTGAGAACGCAGGGTTACTCGTGGTCCCTAAAGTCTCCAAAAGCAGATCAGGAGCCAGAGCCTTCAGCTATCAGGCTCCTCTCCTGTGGAATCATCTTCCTGTTACGGTCCGGGAGGCAGACACCGTCTCCACATTTAAGACTAGACTTAAGACTTTCCTCTTTGATAAAGCTTATAGTTAGGGCTGGCTCAGGCTTGCCCTGTACCAGCCCCTAGTTAGGCTGACTTAGGCCTAGTCTGCCGGAGGACCCCCCTATAATACACCGGGCACCTTCTCTCTCTCTCTCTCTCTCTCTCTCTCGTATTCTATTACTGCATCTTGCTAACTCGGCCATTCTGGATGTCACTAACTCGGCTTCTTCTCTGGAGCCTTTGTGCTCCACTGTCTCTCAGATTAACTCATATCACAGCGGTGCCTGGACAGTGTGACGTGTGTGGTTGTGCTGCTGCCGTGGTCCTGCCAGATGCCTCCTGCTGCTGCTGCCATCATTAGTCATTAGTCATACTTCTACTGTTATTATACACATATGACTATTGTCACACATGTATACTGCCAGATATTAATACATACTTTCAACATATTGTACCACAGTAGCCAGAACTATAACTATAATATTATTACTTTCATTAATGTTGTTGTAAGCTACTGTTATTACCTGCATCTCTCTCTCTCTCTCTCTCTCTCTCTCTGTCTCATTGTGTCATATGGATTACTGTTAATTTATTATGCTGATCTGTTCTGTACGACATCTATTGCACGTCTGTCCGTCCTGGAAGAGGGATCCCTTCTCAATTGCTCTTCCTGAGGTTTCGACCATTTTTTTGGGGGAGTTTTTCCTGATCAGCTGTGAGGGTCATAAGGACAGAGGGATGTCGTATGCTGTAAAGCCCTGTGAGGCAAATTGTGATTTGTGATATTGGGCTTTATAAATAAAATTGATTGATTGATATGTCCACACATTTTATTAAAATTTGGGATTTAAGGGTTGTATTGATGTGTAGCATATTAAAATACTCCAAAAAATGGCCCTACAGCAGGTTAAATTGTAAAGATATGCTCTGGCAGACTTGTTCTATGGTAGGTCATAAAGGGTTAAATATTGAGTTAGTCCGTCTTTCTTTGGGCCCTCTACAGATAACTCACTCATTAGACTGAATAGTTTTGGACTGTGGTTTATCAATCCATACCTGATATTCCCTGATTCACTTCCAGCAGTGCTAAACCTGGACTAACCTATTTTTTCTCTTGTGAAGTTTCATAAATAGCTTTGTTAAAGCAACATGTTGCTTGCTAACGTAAGCTTGTTATAGGCATCATTTTTATTCTACAAATGAGTGCTGATTTTGTCTGTTCATATACAACTGCTGCTCAGAGGGATTGTTGACCTTGTTCATGTCAAATGTTAAAATGCACATATTGTGATCTGATTCCTCAAACCACTTGCAAAGGTGATCTTGGATACATTACACAGTGTAAACACAAATGCATCCCAATTCTTCCCCAACAAACACTATAACACTATAACATGTCGAATAAACATGCCTACCTTTGAAAATCCCACCACACAGAGCCCTCATGTCTAGAGTGACTTTTTTTAATTACTTACTTCCTGTAGGAGGCAAACTGAAAAGGATTGTTATTTAAAGACACAACAACATCAAGTGTATTTTTTTACATAACATACCTAAACCTAAACTTCACTCAATCAGGTTGACTTAAGTTTAAAACATTTTTATAACGATACAGTGACTAAGAATGTGCTCTACCAAATGGGTGAGCAGAATGCTAAAGGGCTAATCCTCCTCTTTTGTCGTCTGTCCAGGTGATTGAGTTTGATGACGGCTCAGGCTCTGTGCTGCGTATCCAGCCTCTGAGGACCCACCGTGATGAAGCTATCTATGAATGTACAGCAACCAACAGCATGGGAGAGATCAACACCAGTGCCAAGCTCACTGTCTTAGAGGGTAAGACCTGACTACCAGTCTTTTGTCTTCCCTGTGTCACTAATGTTTCATACATGTCATGTCTCCTAGCTGATGTCTACTACTCATGCCTTCTCTCAGCCTGTCCTCCCTGACTCTGACAATTGACACTGTGTTGCCCTTGTATGCTGGTCATCATGTGTACAGACAACACATTAAGCTCTCATACTGACTCTTTTTCACATGCCTGTTTGTTTTTAGTTTTAACTATTTTGGTCACCTCAATTCAGTTAGAGTGCAAAAGAGACCTTTAACAACCAAATGAAGGGAAAAAGATAAGGTACCTCTGACTGCATCTTTTACGGCAACATGGCTTTTTAGTTTATGATGATAAATTAGGAAAATGAAGGCATCTCGAGAAGAGTGATCTGCGACCAGGAGAGCCCGATAGACACCCTTAATGATGAGCAATGAATTTTGCACTAAAAATTGACTGGAGGTCAATTTATAATTGTCTCAACATCTGAAGTTGGAACACGCAACTTTCCGAAGCTGCCCCCTTCCAGCCCGTTACAATGAATGATTGCTATGCAACAGGATCTTTCCAATCAGTTTATTGTCAAGGCATTTCAAGTACACATGTCAACGGTGTGCTGCGTCATTCACTGAGTTTCAAATGCACTCACCTGTCTGCCTAACACTGTGGTGAAGTTCTCTTCCAAACATTGCAATTCTCTCCCACATTTGTTGCTTCATGTTGACTGTTATTTTTGACTCAAATGTATTTTTCCAGTATGTTCTTAGGTTCACTTAGGTGCGACAACAGGTAGTCTGGGTTATCACAAAGCACACGTTCAAGCAAACACAAGGTCTCTACGGAAACAGTAGAATTTTAATGCTGTAAAATTTCTTCAAGTGTAGTACATGCCTTAGTGTCTTTCTTTGACTCAGGAAACCTTTTAAGAGTTTCTGTCCCTTAAGTAATTTCCTCAGCTGAGTAAAAAGTAAACATTTAGTGTCATACTTTGTCATACTGTGCAACTGGCTGTTGGGGTCAACACATTAGGCTTCACACGAAGGCACAAAAATGTTGGGAACATAAATTCGGGCTTTACACGGTGGCACCAAATATGTTAGGATCAATATATTAGGTCTCACCAAGAGGCACCAAATATGTAGGGATTTAATTGGCTATCAGAAATAATTAATAATTATTGTTAATAATTAATAATCATGTTAAATAATGTGACTTAATTAACATTAAATCACCTCGTGGGGCACCATTCCCGTAAAGGGAAAAATGATAGCCAGTTAAAGATATCAGTCTCATAAAATAGGCTAAACTATTAATTTGGAGTTTGATTAATAATTAAATTAATGACAACAACCAAAATTAACAGTAACGCCTGACGCAGCAGAGGTTGACTATTCATTCACTCTTGTGCAACATTAAACAGACAGCAGGTATGATTCCAAAGAATTATATTTATTCACAAACTAGCAAAGCAAACCAAAACACACAAATTCTAACAAACTATATACAAGCTCGGTGTGTATATGTGTGTGTGTGTGTGTGTGTGTGTGTGCAAGAGAGAAAAGAGAAAGACTAAGGCGGGTGTGGTGATCAAGGAGCCGTTTGGCCTACAAAACAAAATGGCTGACAACAGAGAACTACCAAAATAGCTGAATCAAGGCTGGCTTCCGGTCGGACGAGGTGTTTGTCTGACCGTGTGGTCAGGACAAAGACAAAGGAAAAGAAGCGGGAACTTTGAGATGCCTGTTTGGATGTAGCTCTGTTGAAAGCCTATTTGTTAATGAGTCTATGTGACTGTGATTTGTGTTGCAAACGGTCTGAATTAGTGCAGAGATTGTTTAGTTGTGTGCAAGAATCTGTTTGTGAACAGTATTCGCAAACTAAACACTTAGCTTTGGCGACGCCAACTAATCAATGACCTAACTGCAAACAATCACAACAATAACTCAGTAAACAGCATTAAATCATATACAACAAGTTAAACAGTCTTGCTTAGCCTGTAAAGCTGTGATAAGCTATGCCCAGTTGTTACATCACCGATTCTTGAATGGATGGGAGAAAGAGTCACTTGGTGGTGTGCTGCTTTGTTAGCCGGCAGAAGAAGGCTGGGAAGATGGTTCCAGGTGCAGTCTTTGTTGGGTCTTTTGTTCCAAAGGTGAAACTCAGAGGAAGCTGGTCGCTAAGGGTTTAGCAGAGTTAGACGCTGGGTGCTAACTCACTTAGTTCCTTGTTGCTGGAAAGCTAGTTGCAAACCTTGTGTTTGCAAGAGAGTCTATGATCAGTTGCCCTCCCTTTAGTGGTTTGGGGCAAGGAGCAAGGGTCTGGGCATCTGTGCTAATCCAGGCCCAGCCAGAAAGGGGTGTTAGCTGTTCAACAGCTGGAGAGCAAGAGGGAGAGAGATCTGAAAGGAGCAGACCTTGTACAGATGCCTGTGACATCACAGAGTCACATGACACTGTAAAAGGTCTTGTCCAATCAAGTTTTGGGACTTGAGTCTCACTGAGGTGTGAGGTGAGACCTCCTGTGGAGATGGGTGTCACCTAGCTGTCTTTGTTTGGAGAACAAAGAGCATGCAGAGGAAAAAGCCTTTAAATCTCCAGTTTAGATTTTACCAAATGACAAAACATCTGTGGTCCTGTGAATCCCAACATGGCCCAGGTCCTTATGTATATAGAAGATACATTAAGGACTCATCTCCACTCATTCCCACATGCCTGTTTGAACTGACTTGACCTAAGGGGTTTTAATAGAACTCAGTCAGAGTCATGATACATAATTCATTTGATTTAATAACTAATGTAGCTCCCTCAAGTAGTAGACAAGAGGCCCGAGGTCGTGGTTAAAAAACTGGGTTTATTCCAAGAACAGACCAATCAGTGAGAACTGGGTAAAAGGAAAATAAATTAAAATACAATAAACAAAAATACATGTACGTACGTCCTTGCAGCTATAACAGGTGCTATATATCTTTGCATGAGATAACAGACAGACTCACACACATCACAGCACAGCCTGCAGCTTAACCCTGAGTTTTCACTTGTATGACATATCTTTGCACACACACTACATTCACATGACATGTAAATTATATACTTCATTGTATATTGTAGAAAGATGTAGTTGCAACGTTATGCTCATATAATTATCACAGTACTTCATATGAAAATGAACTAAAACCAAAACACACCTCGTAGGCTGCTTACTACTAGCAAGGGGCTAAATCTTGCCTGCTTCTTCCGTATCTTCGTCTTCCTTCTTCTTCTGTACATTTACATATTTAATATTTAAGCTTAAGTAGAGCGCTCATATAATGTTTTGCATCTTTTGGCGCTATGCTGGCAAGATGCGTTGATTAATTATAACATGCGGAGCGCTAGGTCTGCAGTAATTAGTTCCACCCTGGAAATACTGCATACCAAAAAACAGGAGGATAAACAAGCCAGTTATACTCCCACCAAATCACATGTGATTTCTTAGAACACTTAAAGAGACATACATACTGTGTAATAAACATTAATTCAAATGCTAGCTATGAACCAACTAATGAACTGATAATGAGTACAAGATGCTGAGGTCATTAGCCTGCCTCCAGCAATGTAACTATTTGGTGAATAGGCCTCTCCAGATGCACAGGTTTGGAGGTGCGCCTTCCCTTCTCATCTCGGTTGGAGTCTCTGATAAGCAACTTGAGTCTCCTCACTTTTCCGTCTTTTCCTGGATAGACTTCGACAACCTTTGCCAACTTCCACTGGTTCCTTGGCATAGATTCATCTTTCAGCAGAACGACATCATTGACCTTTGCGTTTCTGCAGGCTTTGATCCACTTCTGTCTGTACTGGAGATTTAGGAGATACTCCTTCTTCCATCGTAACCAGAAGTTGTTGGCTAGGAGTTGGAGTCTAGCGGAGGAAAAGATCTTCATTTACAAACTTCCCGGGGGGAGGGGATATGATCGTAGACTAATTGGTCAGGATGTGGTCCAGTGTCAAGGGCTCTGGACTGGATGGATCGTTCAGGTGATCAGTGGTCAGGGGTCTGCTATTTACAACTGACATGACTTCGTAAAGGAACATTCGTAGGGAGGAGCAGTGAAGTTGCTTGGCTGACTGTTCTAGGATGGATGTCAAGACACTTCCAATGGTGCGAATTTGTCTCTCCCAGACTCCGTCCATATGACTTGAGGCAGACTTATTGTCTGAGTAGAATCCTCTTAATTGTAGACCAGTCAGTTTCCTGCATGACACGACTGTGTTTCTGGATGCCACTGTGGAAAGCTTTAGCTGGACCAGTTCATTTTTGGTGTATGGAGCCTCTGCTGTTTCTTAAAGGATAAAAGGTTTGTCACTTTGTGTATCAAGGAGAGCGTACACAAGATCTTCATGATCAGGCTGACTTGTGTCTGATACCCACACTGGGAGGACTGTGGACGTAGTGTCGCGTGTCTTTGACATTCTGGACAACTCTATTTGATGTTGCTTCACTGGATGTTCTTGCTGCCTTGTCTTGTGGCCGATTCATCTTCCTGTCTCTCAACCTTTCAGTGTTCTTTGCTCCATCAGACCGTGTTGATATCCTTCCTTCCTTAGTGCGATTATTGTGGAGGCAAGTCGGATGTTTTTTCTCACATGTTTCACAGATCTTTCTGTTTTCACAGTCCTTTGAGCGATGGCCAGACTTCAGACAGAACAAGTAAAAAGCATGCACATCCCAAACAAATTAGTGCTGGGTGCTGGACCAAGAGGCAGGTGCAAAAATGAACATGAAGTCTGCACACCAGGAACTGCTCCTTCAACTCACTTTAATGGTATATCACCACATGTAACGTTTCGGGCACCTGCCCTTCATCAGACATGACATGAGTGTGGAGACACACCTCCATATATACAACCCCTAGGGTCACCTGACAAATCATGTGATCAACCACAAGTGTAAAAATGTTTAGTCTTTACAGCTGATTATATATGCACACATAACTAAAAGACATCTGTACAAAAGCATAGGAAAATTA